TGACCTTGAAGTTTGACCTAATTTCAAAAAAATTATCTTTGCTGCTAACTTTTGAAGGAAAGATAGGGCTTTCATAATTGTGCATTACCTGTCTCAAGACCTTTTCAAATGTTTTGTGTGTGTGTGTTTTTTTTTTTTACCTTGTGACCTTGACCGTAAAGTATATCCTACAGTCATTTATTATTTTTTTAACATTGGTTTGTTTGTTTGTTTGTATGTTGTTTAACGTCCCTCTCGAGAATTTTTCACTCATATGGAGACGCCACCACTTGCCGGTGGAGAGCTGCAAATTTTGTCCTATACTCGACACTTACGGCCATTGAGCAGTGAGGGATCTTTATCGTGCCAGCACCTACTGCGACACGGGACCTAGGTTTATACGGTCTCATCCGAAGGACCGGGCTCCACGTCCCACAGTGGGATTTAACATTGGTAATTAAAACTTTTGAATGAAAGAAGATGGAGTTTTCATATTTCACATATACTTTACTTCTGACAACACCTTTCATAAAGATACATCGTATCATTTCATTACCTTGACCTAGAAGTTTGACCTACTTATCAAAAAAAAAAATATATATTAATTTTGGAATAACTTTTGATCCAGAGGAGACAAGGCTTTCATTTTTGTCACATGTGCATTACTTGTGATAAGATCATTTCGGATTGTATTTATTTATATTTGACCTCATGACCTTGATCTTGAAGTTTGAGAAGCTTTAATTTTGCCATAATTTTTATTTATTCAATTATTTATCTCTTTACTGTATCATGCACAGACAGGACAGGACACAAAAACAAGACATTTATAAAATGCCATTAATAATTGCACCCCATCCACTAAGACACCGAAAGCAGGGGGCCACAATTCTTTGATTTTGCTTGTTACCCTTGTGCTAGAGACATTGTTTAAGAAATTGTCAGCTAGTATCAGCTAGACTTTACATGTAATAGGTTACAAGAAGTTAATCAGACAATAATGTCAGCCAATAGCACTGCATTGTCTGCTCATGGGAAGTGGAAGGAGGCGTTAATATTGGTATTGAATCAGTGTAGCTGACATATCACGATATAAACTGGATGTTACTAACACGTGTATCTTAGAACTTGACGTAATGAATACAATATAAATAAATGCATAATTGATAATTAGCAACATAATGCTAGATTTCAATGAATTTTTTCCTGAGTTCCCAACAGATTATAAGCCAGTCACAACTGTGACCGTTTCGCCATGATGTGAAACACTATTATAAGGCACGGTGTGTCAAGTCTGCCACACTGCGAAGGTATTGTAAAACCAGTTTATATGAACGTCAATCGACAAATTACACTATTACTGCAAGAACAGTGTTAGACATCAGAGAAAATTCGATGCAATAAAATTTTAGAAGAACTCACTAACTTTTACAAAAGAAAGAACTAGGGCGCATTTGACTGGCATTCGGCAGGAATCTGGGAGCTCTTGGAAAGTGAAAATTCCATCGATTTTTCATATGAAATTTTAGCATACTTTTGATGTATTGGATTCCTTTGAAGTAGGAGAGGGAAATATTTTTAACATTACCTAAGACCAATGGATTTGTGTTGTTCGGACGTTTTTGTTCATATTTCAATGAATATTTTCTGTCAGTGTTGCCATAGAGACACACTGTCATCATGCAACTATGGCCGGTAATTAATACTGCTGAGTTGATGCCGTTATTACGATGCGCTTAGACCCTCCCCCAAAGAACGCATGATATTCTGTTCATGATTTAAATAATTCTTCAATAAACTTTTCAAGTTCTCCCTTGTAAAGGTTTTAAGAAAACATTTCAATCAATAGTTTCTGAATAACAACAACAACAGCAATAATAATGATAAATACAATAAAAATATTGTTTACTTGGAAAATATAAAAAAAATCCAATAATATAATCAGGTCCGTAGCAACGGTTTCAAAAGTGTGTGTGTGGGGGGGGGGGGGACTTCCGAAATAAATCTGACAAGCAAAAAAAAAAATAAATAAATAAATAAATAAAAAAAAAATAAATAAAAAAAAAAATAAAAATAAAATAAAAATAAATAATAATACTAAATAAAAAGAAAAAAGAAAAAAAAAAACCTAAACTGACCAAATGGGTAGGGGGACAACTTCCCAAAAGTATCTGACAAGCCAAAAAAAAAAAAAAAAATTACTGTCCTGGAATTTGCTTATGCTTGACCTTACAAACAACAAAGGGGAGGGGGCAACCAGCATCTGAAGGAATTAAAATTAAAAATTACTGTAACAAAATACTATACTCAGAAAAAAATTGCCCCCCCCCCCCCAGCGTTCTATGGGCCTGAAATTATATCATGCAAATAGCAAGTAAAGTGCTATATTAATTTCTGTTCTTAAAAATACGATAAAAAATATTGTTATAATTTCATGTCATATAGTTGAATTTGATTGGTTTAAAAAGTTAAAAAGTACAGTACTATAATACCCTACCTCATGCTTAAACGGTTGAAAATACATGACGACGGGTAACATATGCAATACAAATTGCGCTTATCCGCGTACGGTTCAATGTGACGTTTTCCTTTAAATGCATTCTAAATAGGTCCAGTACCCCCCCCCCCCTCCAATAAATAAATAAAAATAATTTTTAAAAATTTATCTTAGGGTAAAGTATTAAATTGTTACCCGTTGAAAACTATTTTGACCTTGGCTTCGCCTTGGACAACAATGGTTTTGGCGGGATAATAATTTCACATCGTCGTTACCATTAAATACATGTAATATTTTTATATATTGTTTACCTGAAAATAAAAAAAATCAACCAGATTTACAATTTTACATATTAATTGCTTTCCATTATTAATTCCAGAGTTTGCCGGACTTCTGGGCGGAAGAATTCTGTAAAGAAACACGTGTTCTAGATTGATAATATAATAAATTACATAACGTATTTTTGATAGCAAATGCGGAAAATACTAATTATATAGCTTATAGTAAAAAGAAACTATAGATTGAAAATGTCTTGATGTAAATATCTATATTATTCTGTAGTTTGATGTTTGTCTTTCGTCTGAATATCAGTAAGAAGAAGGGGCGGGTGGGGGGGGGGGAGAGAGAGTAGTTAACAATTAGATTGTACATCCTGCGTCTTCGGCTTTCATAATGAAAACAGATTAAGATAACAAACGGTCATCGATCTCAAAAAATCTACAAATAATACAAATCTGTGAACATGGGCATAAAACACGGACCCCCTGAAATTCCAGAGGTGGGATTAGGTGCCTTGGAGGAGTAAGCATACCCTCTTGACCGCGGTCACACCCGCAATGACAGGTTAATTTGTTACAAGTTAATTACAACAAACATAGAATTTACGAAATGCTGCCTTTAAACGAGGTTGTTGAAATCTGTCTAACATCAACTTATCTGTCAGTAGCCTGTCTCAGAGCACGTTCATGAGTATCGAATAAGTAAACACCATATGCAGATGATAGCGGAATATGGCTACATAAATAAGGAAAGCTGAAAATGGAAAAGCTGAAGTCATCTCGTTTGTCAAACAGTTTAGTTGTTAGTTGGCCCTTATCGTGTATATAGTCAGTAAAACAACCAAATATTAAGTGGTAGAAGCTGTGGTGTCTTGTATTTCAAGTTCACTGGGAGATAGAAGTGTGCAATTCGTTTTAGTTTTAGATTCATATCTCGAGGTTAAAAATAATTTATATAGTCAATCTACATTGAAAAAAGTTTTCTTTAAAGTACAAAGGAAATCAATGTCTTTTCCTACTGCTCACATTTTTATTAATCACAGAGGGAAGTACACACAATATAATGAATCAAAAGGACCCTCCCCCCCCCCCCCACACACATAGATTTAAGTGGGGTCCAAAATTTTGTGAAATGTTTGTTTTGTTTTGTTTTTTCGAATTGGTGGTATGGATTAGATATTAGATATTATACAATTATTGTTTTTTTTAGGTCAATATGATGATTTAGCATGCACCTGAGGAGTGCAATATTGAGCGAGGTGAATATTGTACTTCGAAGGTGGCTAAATCATCATATTGACCAAAAAAAAACCAGCAATATTTTTTATCATATGATTCAATGATTAAAACTCATTAAGCAATCTATGTCATCTTGCTTGTTTTACATTTCCTGAAGTTCCAGCAAACAATGAGAAATGGGAATAAAATATGCATACCATATGTATTAGTTTTAAATATATGTGAGATGTAGAAAAAATAAATGGCATGCACATTTTAAGGATCGATTAAAAATTGAAAAAAGGGGGGTTATAATAAGAAAAGGAGACAATTTACCTAAAAAAAAAAAAACTTCAACCCCCCAAAGAGGAGAATTCTTCCAACATATTTTATTAATTTTATTTCATTTATGGGGTAAGGTCCATTAACGGGAAAAGGGGTCTTTCAATGAACATTTCATATCTAATTAAAAAAAAAGTAAAAATTTATGTTCACAAAAAACTGTAGGGGGGGGGGGGAGGCACCCCCTTCAGTTCTACCCCTAGATCATCAAGAATTCTGTATGCCTCAGTGCTACCTAAGGTCACCTGAGTGGACATTGGGTGCTTCCAGAACTATTTGTATCAATTTGGAATTTTCCAATCTATTTTTAGTCCAATGTAGAAAAAATAAATCCTTATATTCATGCAGGTGAATCATGATAATGTAGTATTTTTTCTATAATGTTGGATCTCAGCTAATCAAATAAAAGGATTATAATTCAATCATATAATAAAATAAAATATGTCATTCAAATATATAATCCAGATAATAGGGGAAAAGTCGAGAATCTCCGGGTATATATCGATATTGTCCGGAAAAATCGTAACAACTACGATAACCGTCTCTGCACTTGGAAAAAAGCACCAGGAAGAATAACTTGTACAGTCTGCTTAAATATATTCGTTTTGTATGTAAAAGTTCAGATTCTTAAATATTAGATATGACGTCACGAAAATTTTCAGCCAACCCACAAGCGTTTGATTGACCCCGAAAAGACCTAAATAATTTTCTACGAAGTGAATGTAGTTGCACCAAATCGAGCCATGGATACTGCATTTCCATGAAGCGACACGGTGCATTTTTTACGTTAAATACGAGCAATGGATAGGTATTTTCCTATTTAATCTAAAATCTGAAATGTAGCTGCAATTTTAAATGCATATTTAGCATCTAGAGGCCGCCTAATCGAGGCTTGAAAAATCAAAGATGGCAGCCAGTTCAGGAATATCCCTAAATTACATGGAAAATGGAGATATTTCTTCAGGTAGGAATGAGAAACAAGGGTTGGTAACAATTTAGACAAGCAAAGAATCCTTTTTTTATGATATGACTTTTGGTTTTTGTTGCAAATTCATGTGTTCGTGCGAGGGAGGGGTTGAAGATGTTTGTTTACGTCTTAATATATGCCCTGAAGTTGTTGCAACAGCATCTGTATCCGTGTACTGTTTTATTTTTGACGAATGAACTCTGTACAGTATTACGATATAGAATATCCACGTCTACAAAACAACAGAAACTAATCCTGGAAGTATATGTCAAGCAGTCTTCCTGTTTTGGAAACAAACCAGTATTGATCTTTTAGAACCTTGACTCCGTTTTATGTTTTATGCAGATGACATGTACATTATATCACTCAAACAGTCCAAGAATATGGAATATATTTTTAAAAGAATATTTCTTGATTAGTTGATGACATCTATGAATGTAACTTTTAATTGTGATATATGGCATGTATTTACACTAAAACTCAGAATATACATGATAGACAAAGAAGATGTAATTTACATTAACAGTTGTTTTCCTTCAACATAATGCAACCTCATTTAAATTATGAGACCCTTTGTAAATATTACAATGCATTAAGTATTTTTTCTTACTTATTCCTTGTCTTGGAAACATACTTCTCAACCTCCAACATGTAATTAAAAAAAAAGTGGTTATGACCTTCTTTGGAAGTTAAGAAGTTTGGTCATAACGCATATTAAACAACATTCACAACATATTTACCATAATTATATATAATCAGCATTTGCTTATTACTATTTTATTAAAAAGAAGTATTGTAACTTTCAATAATAAAATTTAAATTTTTCATTAATTAAATTCATTAATTTTATGAAAATCACATGATAAAAGGGCATTTAAGGTTTCATATTTTGTACAGTATTCACCTGCATTATTAAAGTATGTAGGTTTTGTTTTCTGAATACTGAGAACCATATCAGAGTCTGCATTGATATTGAAAGTATGTCAAGTTTCTGTTTGAAGATAATTTTAATCTGCAGAGTCCAAACCTAATAAATTCAAATTTACATGTAACATATAGTAAGCCTCATACTTTCTTCAATCACTTTATTTTTTATCCAATGAAATTTGTTTCCCCAAGATTCCTTGTTATGTACATCATTTCTTTTTCTCTTTTCATTGGTGTTGTTACTGTTGGCCCTGATACCTATCTTGTTATTTTAATTTTTGTTCTTTAATAGCCATTTATTAATGACTTTGATTTTTCAAAACAACTCGCAGTTGGTTTTTGACGCATGTACTGATAATTGCAGTGTGCGCCAAAAACTTCTTCCAACACTAGCCCAGTTGGGCTAACAGTGGCTAATTTTACAAGCCCAAATTACTTTTACTATCCCCCTTAAAAGTGCACAAAAATAAAACGACAGTTTTGTTTTATTCTCTTAGATTTTAGCATGTTTAGGGTATTGCGATATACTATAATATTTTTTATTTATATTGCGATGTGTATTGCAATATTTTCAATAACAGTTAAAATGACCTTTTCTTATTTTATTAACCTCCAATTATAAGCAGAGTGTATATTCCTTTAATAAATGCAATATTTTACTATAATTATAAATTATAAGCAGAGTGTATATTACTGTTATAAATGCATTGTAACAAGAAAGTTCTTCTTGATTTCACTTCAGTTTTACAACGAAATACAACCATACAACAACAAGTCAACAATCTTACTGTTTGGCTTGATTGACACATTAAATTTCGTAATTAATTACTTTAGAAATCCCAAGCCCAAGCATTTTGCTGGTATATCGTACTGAGAAAATGTATCGCAATAATAATTTTTATTAATTTTTGTCAATGAATTGCAATATACCTAAAGAGCAATATTATTGCATAGCCCTGTTAGATTTAATCAACAAGGCTCATTATTTAATTTCAAAAATTGAATTCCTATTAATTAACCCTCTGTTTCGTCATTTCATTTCAGTTCTTTTATCCTGTTAGTAATTAAACTTTATTGTTTTACAAAATGATGTAGTTCGATGCACTTTATAATAAACATTTCATTGCATGTTCATAAATAACCGAGTCATGGCCAACTACTAATTCTTTCATTCGTTAGAAACTCTGAGGTGCATTTTAAATCAAGTTATTTCTTGATGTCAATAACAGTCTCCGTCTCTATTTTTTCTTTGCATTTATTAGCTATATTTAAACATGGCAATGGGAAATGACAAATTATAAATATATCCAAGAGACAAAAAAAAAAAGATTGGAGAAAGCAAAAACTTTTCAATCGAGAAAATTAATCTTTTCAGACAATTTTTTATGCCCCCGCCATAAAATGACCGGAACATATAGTGTTACCCTGTTCCGTCATCACTGACTTTCCATTCATTATCTTGGCAACAGTTGCACACATTCAACTCAAATTTGACATATGGATATGTCATAGGAATACGCAGGTCATTCGAATTTGGTCATGGTCAGATGCTTTTTGACATAGTTATCCCTCTTGAACTTAGAAAAAAATAAGAAAATTTCAGTTTCCGCTCTCTAACTTTTGTAGGGATGTAAGTATAAAACAACCTGCATTCTACTTGCCAGACAGAATTTTTACTTGTGTTCGGGCATTGGGCTAGTGCTTTCGGCTCACACTGTAATTGGCCTGTTACACACTGTACACAACCATCGGCATTGGTTACATAGATCCAAGCTTGGATGATAACTGGAAATTGCTCATGGAAACTATTTACAAAACAAGTCCGAAAATTTGAAGATTTTTGTGTTGTTCAACAAAAGTCATGTGAATAGTATGATCCACAATGTTTTAAACAAGAAACAGGTTAAGGGGTAAAAAAAATAGGTGTAACCTGCTGAAATTGGGTGAGTGGGTAACTATGCTGTGAAAGGCTTTTGGATGAATTGACATTTTTAATGAGTGTATCTTTATTTGTTGGCATTTTGACAATTTGAAAAAATTAACAAGGGAAATTTTGGTGACAAATTATATCCTTTTTTATTGTAAGTTAAATAATTAGTTTTTTTTTTTTAATGAAAATACTTTATATGACATTCAGTTTGGTATGCCACTTTTGAGCGAAACACATGCTTCATTACAGAGTTATACCCCTTATCAAACCCCGGCATTCATCAAGAATAACAATCGGTCACTGACAATGTGCTCAATTTTTTTTTCTTTTTTTCAACTTAACCTTCTTAACTTAAGTTTTCTTATCATGTTTATTGTATTTTTTGATTAAGAAATATTGAACAAAATTGTTCTTGAAAATACATTATTGCTAGGGAGTAAAAAAAAAATTATTGAAATTTGGATTTAGATATTGAAAAGAATGGCATCATGGGAGAGTGTAAGTATTATTTGTGGTTGCAAGTGTTTAAAGAAATTTGCTTACCAACTTAGAGGCCCGGGTTTAACTTTCGATCGCCACACTGTGTCAAAACATTGGTTGTCTGTTCATTTGGCAATTTTTTAATTGATACGTTTGGCGTGTTGGAAAAATATCTGGTGATTGTGCATCTATTTGGAGTTGACCAATGAGGTAAAGTAGGCAGGACTTATTAATATTTACAAATATCACATCCAATAACCAAAACATCATCACTGTATGCCATATTTCAATCATGAAACATCAAAGAAAAAAACAAGTACCATTGGATAATGTTAACAAATGAACAAAAATAAATTCAGACAATAGAAATCCATTGGTCAAAGAAATGAATTTTATTGCTGCCGTAATATCCTACAGATAGGTAGTATCTATAGGTTATTCTTTTAGAGAACCATTTTGATGCAGAGATTTTTCAGGTAGTATCTTATGCATATTTTTAGCACACTTATCTGAAAACTGGCACTACAACATGTGAAATTACTTATATAATTAATTGATATTTGAATCTGTTCACAGGTGTCTCCAGTACCAAACATAATGAACTAAGGAAAAAAATGGAAAAATTGCACCGAAGCTATATTAGAGGAAAGGAATGGAAGGAGAGCATGAGAGTTGTTCAACAGAATCTGTCGAGGGTAAGTGATTTATGTAGGAAATGCAATGCCTAGCAGTATTTTCTACTACTGGCCAAGTTCTCCACTTCAGTTTATAAAAATACGGCTTAGGAATCAAAAATTTAAAAATTAATTGTTGAAAGGTCAACAGAGATTTTGTTCATAAACATCAACCCCTAGCCTGTTACAGTTGATCTCTAACCTTTTATTTCACAATAGAGGGAAAACAGTTCCTAGTCTATCTCTTCACCATGTTCACATACAGCAACCTTGCCTGGTCTTAGGGCTTATCAACTTCTAGTTAAAGAAATAAGGACAGAGTCCATTTCTAGTTGTCCTAAAATGTTTCACATCATCATTATTTTTAAATCTTCCAAAAAAAAGCTTTCGGTTGGGTATTACACTGTATACCTGTATATCTCTATGAAAAAAAGGAATTATATATCCATGCATCATATAGTGTATGGTGACATGGACATTCTAGTAAAAACAAATCTTAAAAGTAATGCACACTATGTTGAATTTTTGTGAAATTTACTATACAAAATTCATCCAAGATGGCTCTTTTCATTAAAGGTCATAAAGACAACTTAAGAAATTTGCAATGTCATAAAATCCTGGTCAAATGATGTTACTTAAAGGCCATTTTGGTAGTATTGTGTAATCATATAATGGTAAATATTGGCATTGTTTTAATTTTATGCTTTAATAAAAAAAAGTTTATTGATTAAAGTCATCCAAAAAAAAGGGTGCATG